AATACTAGCTTCCCTACCTTGCAACATGATTTCCAGTGATGATTTTGCTTAGCAGTGTGATGAACCTCAACGTCTGTCGTTGTTTCCGGCATCTGTAAGCCCTGATTAGACTAACATTTGTCGTATCCACTTCCTAAAAGTCGACTCTGTCAAGTGAATTCACCAAAGGCTGCCTTCTTTGCGTGACTCTTCGCAAACAACAAAATATTACAATCATAACCAAACTTCCTGAATGTTACGGGCACCACCACATTGACTTGCTTGATTCCCTCTAGAGGGTAGTAGTACCATAGATCGCCACTAGGAGGCGAGAAACCGTACTAGCGTAATGTGCAAACGGTCATAAGAACCAAGCTTGGCATGGTTAACTAATCCAAGCTCGGCACGGATCGGTATTCAGAGGGTAATGTAAATGGGGCTTAAGATTGTTGATTGTGTTGATTTTTCATTTTTCCTTACTACTATTATTCTAATTGTTTTATTTCGGACAGTCCACATATGTTCACATGTGCACAGAATCTCTCTCCATCATCTGCCGCAGCACTGTTAACTTGCACATTTGTTTACTCGCAACTTTATTTAATTGTAACTTTGCACATGACCTGAAAACTTGCACCAAAAATTTAAGGGTTGAGAAATAGCGTTGCAGGTGATGAGACATTTCTTTTGCATATCCTCCTGCCATAGACTTGTGCAGTTTAGTCATCAGCAGATATATTTAACATATATTCATAATGCCAAACGCTCAAAAGTTTGCTCCTGCTATTCTCCTCATTTTAGAAATACAGTTGCACCTGATTAAAATTGAGATTTGCTCATGCAATCGTTTTGCATATTGTTTTACATACAAACCATTTAAAGATCGGGCCTAATATAAAAAACAGGACATCTTTATAAAGGAAGATAAATATACTTTGATCATTTACAAGAGTAAAATATAGATTACCCGATGTGAAACCTTAACTTCCTCAAAATTCTGGAAATGCAATATGAGTTTAGGGTTTACTTACGTGGCGACCTGATGCATGACCTTTGTTGAGGTGTCCTTTAGTGTGTCTTTTAAGTTGTCTTTAAAGTTACTGAAGAACTTCCCTGCTCCTCCCTTCACCATGTCCAACAGCCCTCCCCCGTAGCCTGCATCCATATCTGAAAATAAAAACATTATGCAGACTTGAATCCACTGAAGGGGCACCCAATCAGACAGGCTGGTGTGGATCCACACAGAAAACAACTTATTCAGTATTTTTCAGATGAAAGAGAAGACTTGATTGTCAACACAAGGATAACTTATAATAATCAAAATAGATCTAATGGGTAAAGGCTAGTTTAATTTTATAGTTAGTGGCAAGATAGCTGTTGCTGCCAGTGCTTTACATTAGAAACAGTAAAAGTTAATATTAAAATGAGACAGAAGTTGACTCTATTGCAACAATTAAGTACACATTAAGCCGTCTGCATCTATTTCACTGAGAAATTTTATTTCTGACACACACTTTGAATGCATTATAAACCCCTCCTCCAAACAGGATTATTTTCGGCGCGGCACACACACTACAGCAACCGGAAAACGAAACATGGCGGTAGCCGGTGTTTCAGCTAAGCAGTATATGGCATGGTTTGACGTGGAACAAAACGCACTAATTTGTTAGATGTGCCGCAAAACCATTGCTGCAAAAGGTGTGAGTACAAATACATTCCTAAAAAGTAACCCACTGCAAAATGAAGACTGTTGTAAACTGCATGTCAGCATCTCCCCGCACACCAATTAAAACATTCAATAAATCAGCTGTGAAACCGATGACCTTGGCCTCATCCTTTTAAAAAAAGCTGTCCCATATAAAAGATAAATAAAAAGCTATTTATTACATTATTTAAATGTTTTTTTTGGAGGCGTTGGCAATGTTTTTCAGGACTCCTGTCTGTGTGTTTGTGTTCTGTGTTTGTCTCCCTTCCTCCACCAGGAGGCGCCTGGTTCTGGTCCGCCTCCTCACACACCTGCTAATGGTTTCCTCGTTACGGAGGGTTCTTAAGCTGCTGACTGCCACTACCTTGACGCCAGAGTGTTTGCCAGTTTTGGGGACTCTAGCCAAGCTGAGTTTTGCTGAGTCAAACTGAGTTGTTGTCAACCTGAGTTTTAACATTGTTTTTGTCTTTGCCTCTTGACAGGAAGTCATCCTGCAAACTGGATTTCTCGGACCTTCTCTCCCAAGAAGGATCAACTGAGCTTCAAACTGAGCTGGGGTTTAAACAGGAGGTTTGGACCCACTTTCCCCAAGAGATCGTTTGAGCTTCACACGGAGAAAGGAATTCACCTCCACTACGACCCGTTCAAGTACCGTAGGAAATCTGAGTGGCAGTCAGTTTTCTCTGTTCACCTACAAACAGCCGCATTCTGGGTAAACCCTGTTCCGCCCTCCAGCGAATCAGACAAACACTGGAACTACAGCATACAGACTGGAGTCAAAGATTCAACAACTTCTCTGGAAACGTGAGTCAGCAACCAGATCCTCTTCTACAAGTTCACGAATCAAATTTCCCACTGAGCCTGAACTAATCGCTGTGTCTTCCCCCTCACTTTGCAGTTCCGGTTGAGCAGTGTTCAGAGCAACATTTCTCTCTGCATTATCTCTTCAATAAAACCTGTTAAACCTTTTCCCCTGGTCTCCCTGTTTGGTATTCTGCATTTGGGTCTGAACTAATAAAATCATGACAATGTTCTAAATTTTGCAACTTTTTTTGTTTCTTTAATAATGCTCTAATTTTTGGATAGAATTTCCGCTTTTGTTTTTGTAATTTGAGGTAAATTTCTTTTTTCATTCTGCATTTTTTTTTTTTATGCACAAAAGAGCCCTTTTTATTTTGCATTTTATTTAGTGTTGTGTGTTTTTGCTTTGTTACCTATTTGCTTGCTGGGATCTTTTTAAATATCTAATACTGACACAGGACACAAGACCTAATGTGGCAGTATTATTTTTGAAAAGCTTTGAGCTGGTTATATTTTTTGTAAATTTAAAACCAAAAGTTTAACTGATTATATCAGTACAGTTTTATGCACCCTATTGTTTTTGAAGGTAATTTAAACATATTGTGATATATATCGCGTATCGCAATTATTAGATTTTTCTTCATATAGCCCAGCCCTCAGTAGGTGTAGAAACAAATTAATAGGGTTTGACCACTTTTGCAGTTTACAGGAAGTTTTTTCTTAGTGAATTATTGGACCTAAAATCTGCTTTTCTCTGTGGTTCTGAGTATGTAGCATCGACCTGAGAGGTCTGAGTGGTTGATCCACCCAAAAAAAAAAAGACTTGTCTGTGATGTATTTTGTTGCTAAGCCATTTAGTAATTTGGAGACTAACAGAAGTATTTTAAAGTCTATTCTCTGATATTCAGAGAGGCAGTAGAAGGACTTTAGTTCTGGGCTGATGTGCTTCAATGTCTTAATTTAGGTGAGGATGCTGGCAGCGATCTTCTGGATCAAATGCAGTTGTCTAATTCACTTTAAAGGCAGACCAGTGAAGACACTGCTGCACAAATGAGCTCTACAACAATCAACACATGATATTTATTTTTTTTTTTTTAAGTGTTCCCATGCTTGAATGGGTTCATAGTCACCCGATGACATTCTAATGAACAGCTTACGTAGTCTGCATTGTTATGGTAACTAATGTTGTTGTTTATTAAGATCTAAATTAGTGGAGCATGTCGATATTGAACAAAAGGGGCCTTAAGATGGACTCTTGGGGAACGCGACATGTGATTTTTGCGGTCTCTAATGTGAAAAAAGCTTTCATATCAAAGACCGCATGTTGTTTAAAACTCAGATGAAGAACAAAAAATGACAGACTTCAGTTCCATGTTTTACATCCTCTCATAGTAATGATCAGTCTGAGCTAAAAGCAATTAAAATCTAGAGTATATTTCACACCTTTTGATTACCTGTACATGTGCTGACATTTTGGTTTATATGTTACAATGAACCGATGAGTCACTCCGTAAAATGCATCTGACTGTAAAGTACTGAAGCACAAGGGCACACAAAGAGGAGACACAACAAAATGCATACCAACTTCACTTGTGTGCATCTCTAGTGTATGTTGGAAGACACCCAAGTGTTATGTCTGAGTCAGCATGCCACTGGTGATCTGAGAGTTTCTGTCCCTCATCTTTCTCTTTCTGTCTCTGTCTCTACATCTAATCCACTCTGCAATCTGCTGATAGCAACAACAGTGTCATTTCTGCATAAATTTGGCAGAGAAGGCAAACACTGATATAACATTTTGTAGCCAAAAAATTATTACAAGTTGTTCTATCTAATCATCAAGGAAAATTAAATAGCTTATAAAACTGTAAAAAGTGTGACTAGTATATTTAAAAACTCACAACTGCCTGACAGCAAGAGAATAGACACTCTTTCTATAACATCACCTGGATAGATGTTGTTTCAGTGCAACTCTCTGGGAAAAAATACAATTCCTTCTGCTATACCAACTAATCATGGCATAAAAGGAAATTATGCACGTTTTTACAGATCAGAAATGTAGTATACATGGGTCAATATTTTTTACATTATTTGTTGTTGTTTTTTGCAGTTACAGCTGCAGGAAACTCTTTCTTTATCCAGGGTATATAACCTTTTATCTTTGCTGAAGATCATCCATGCTAGAGGGAGAGCTTATCAGGACTTGTCGTAGATTTTAATTGACTATCTATGAAGATAAACCTTAATCATGATCTCAATTCTTTTTTTAAGGCTGTTTTTTCCCTGTAAAATTTTGACCAGTTTCCATTTTCCTTAGCTACAACAAAAATAACTATGCCACAGGAGGATGCTGCCATCACAATATTTCAAAATTTCATTTTGCCTATAAGTGAGATTGTTCCATTTTGGTCTTCCTTCACACAAAATCTTCTTTCACACCTTTACTGTGTTCCCTACATGACTTTTATGTTAGAGGAAAACAATGTAAAAATGTCTATACTGCTTAATGATGGAGTACTTTTGACTTTTAAAAGCACAAATTGTTCCATAAAATGAGAAATTTCACAAAATAAATAATAAAAAAACAAAGGGTAAAGATTAAATAAAATTTCCATCATATTTCTGAGGTAACTGCTTTGGATGCTGCTTTGAGAGAATCATCTCTAAATACACTGATATTTTAACACCTTTACAAGCTAAGATATTAAAGCCTAAAATGAATAATCCCCATTGGCACATTGAGAATTTGTTTTGTGTGTTTTATTTTATCAAGATGTTTTTTCTTAATTAATTTCTTAATAATATTTTGTAGTGACCAAGGCAGATCATTTAAGATTTTAATACAATATGAGGGGCATGGAAGACTAAGATAATGGAAAGGAGTGGAATTGAGTCAATACCAGTGATGAAGGGCAGCATATAGAGCAGCACTAAATGGGGCAAACCGATAACCGAGGCTCTGTCCTTAAATATCCCAATGGATCAAATTCCAGCATCATGTCCCAATATCTTAGCTTCAATTTTCCCCCGCAAGCTATTAGAAAATATGGTGGCATTATCATACTGTGGGAATGGTTTGTTGTCCCCATGAAGAGGGAAGATAGTGAGAGCTGATGGGCAGAGTGACCCATCTGTATGAATACATGTGCATTCTAGCAAATACTGAAAGGAAACATATTGAAAGAAGAAAAAAGGTGTCAGACTCCTTTCAATAGAACTAAACCCTAAACACAAAACTAGTGACCCAGCAAAAGGTCCAAAGATTGAAATTTACTTAAACACAAAATTGATAAGACGCAAAATAATCTAAAGGTAAAATATCATCCTTTTTCAAGCCTTTCAAAGTCATCTATAGGTCAATTTAAAATGAAATAATGTGTTTAGAACTACATGAACATTAATCTATTATGAAATATGGTTGTTATACTACAACCCTGAAGTAAGACACTTGTCTTTGAAACAAAGCTGCTCATCTCATGACTTTATTGAATTACACCACTTCTAAAGGCAAAACAAAATGTGGGGCATTTCAAGCTAACAAAAGAATCCCCAAATCAAAGGGGTGGACCCATGCATCCGTTTCAATTTGCATGATGGCTAAACAAAAACAAGGCTTTGATGGGCTACTCTATAAAGCCTCGAACTCAACGCTATTTTCGATGTG